TTATAAACGTTCTCTTGAATATCTCCAAATAGTATTGGGCAAATAAAAAAATGTTTCAGACAAAAGTTGTTCATATTAATTAGTAGAATAAGATAGTATAATAAACAATAGGGGGTTCCATTTAAAAAATTGAAGGTGATCTTCACGTGACCTTCAAATAACTATCCAAGGTCAAGTCAATGGTACCACCTTATGTCCTCCTTCGAACCAAACAACTTTTGTTTGAAACGTTTTTCCGTATCTTTCATATTTTTGGAGATATTTGCGTGGATCATTTAAAATGAGACACCCTGTATAATAAAACCATAAATTTCTCAAGTAAGAATAAAATTCTTTGTGCGCGCGCGCGTGCGTGTGCGTGTGTGTGTGTGCGTGCGTGTCACACAAATAGGGGCGGCATTTATGCCGATGCGTGTATATGCGCGCGCATAAAGAAAAAGGACTAAGTGAGAGACGTTCCTGTCTATTCCATTAATAAATGTATTTAATATTTAACATCCTATTAATTGCTCGTTTGTTGCTGTCTCTCTAATTTTTCCATTACATTTGTAAATTGGAGCTTGTTACTATATAGTTTTTCGATTAAATATATTATCTTTTCAGATTACTTTTAAAAATAAAACATATTCAGACTATATTACGTGCATAAATTCTATAAAGCCTTTGCTTTTTACGAATGATAATGGCAATATATTTTTAATGATTGATTTTATTGCAGCTTAATGAATACTTTCTATTCGATGCCGATAACTTGAATGAGGATGTTGATGAGAATGAAGATAAAGTACAGTTACGATTGATGCTATATTGTTTGTATTTTAATTTTCATAAGTAGAATTATCAGCATAAAAATTAAAATAACTTAATAAGATAGGTAATGACAATGTTTTGACATTTTAATTTTTATAAATTCCAATTACTTCTCATCCTTTATTTTCTTTCATTCTCTCATAAATTTCCCTATTTTTCTCCTTTGTTTTCTTTTAATATCTTTCAATCTTTTTCATTCTTTCGTGATCTATTTCATTCTCTCATTCTTCCTCATTAGTCCATCCAGTCATTAAAATCAAGTATAAATTATGTAAAAAATAATTACAAAAAGTAAAAAGTCAAAGATAAAAATCATAATAAGAAAAGAAGGAAAGAAAATATATACTTCTAAATAAATATATTACTTGGGTAATTAAGATTTAATCTTGAAAGTCGATTGTGTATCATGGCAAATTAGCGAAAATAACGAAAGTAAGCAAATTAAAATATTTATTATGTTTATTCATAAACAATCAACTATTGTACATAATATATAATATTACAATAGGATATTTATAAGTTCTTATGACGTGTAATAAATGTATATCCCCCCGCCACGTCTTCCAAATCTTCTGCCTCTTCTGCCACCTCTGCCACCTCTGCCACCTCTACCCCCTCTGCCCCCTCTGCCCCCTCTGCCCCCTCTGGCACCTCTGCCACCTCTGTCGTGAATTCCCCTCGTCGACATCATTTCATTTATGATATTAATTACATCTTCTTTCTGAAACATAAAACACTAGAAAATAAAAAACATGTAAGAATACACCTATAATAAAAAATAATTGCAATATGCTATTTGTAGATATATGCTGCGAACTTTAGAATTTTATAAATGTAAATAAAAAAGATGTTAAGTGATATTGATAGAAACTAACAATATACAAAGTATATGTATACAAAAGTTTATTAAAATATTAATTTTAATAAAATATTAATCAATACAAATGTTAATATTTATTAGTAAATTATGAAAGAATAGTTTAATATTAAAATTGTAAACAATCTAAGAATTATTTACGTTATTTTATGCAATTAGATCTAAATTTTTTATACAATATTTTTACAATACAATAGAAGAAAAAATCCCAGGTAGCAAGCTGACGTTATTTGTTGTCATTTTTTAAGTAAAAATATCATAAAAACCGTTATTTTGACATCAGCTTGCTTTACTTGAGAGTTGCCACCTTTATAAAATAGCACGAATTAGTATTGACTCAAAATTAGCACTTATTCAAAAAGGATATTAATCAATATGTTTTTGAATAAAGGACTATGAGCCGTGACAGAGTGTTAGTGTTTAAATATTCTAAATTTATTGCGAAAAAATATCACCTCGACAAGGTTATTTGAACCTGGACCTCCCTCTCGCTAGGTGGGCGTCTCAACCAATTCGACCACCGAGGCACATGGCAATATATTCATTGCAATAAACAGACTAATGTTGATTCCGTACAATCATCCCTACACGCGTTTCTTACTTTCATTTAATTATTTGATCGGGTGAGAGTGTAGCGCCTAGCGAGAGGGAGGTCCAGGTTCAAACCCTGGCCTAGGTGATATTTTTTCGCAATAAATTTAGAATAAAATATTTAGACACTAACACCCTGTCACGGCTTGTAGTTCTTTATTCCTTCAAATTTGTGTTTATCACATTTGAGCCATACCAATTTTATCAATATGTTTTGTTTAGTATTAATACGAAGAAAAAGAATTTTAAGTCACATATGATTACCATAAAGTTATATACTTACGCTTAATGTCGACGAGGAAGTTGTCACCTCCACTGGGGCTGCGACCATCGTCGACGCCGGGGTCGTTATCGTTGTCGTCATCGCTGACGCCGGGGCCGTTGTCATCGCCGACGCCGGGGCCGTTGTCGCCATCGCTGACGCCGGGGCCGTTGTCGTCATCGCCGACGCCGGGACCGTTGTCATCGCCGACGTCGGGATCGTTGTCGTTGTT